TTGTGAAAAAACGGCGAATGTATTATTTCTTAAAATGAAGATAATTGAGACTTAACATATCATAAGCATCATATGATACTATTACTGGAGTACTCGATGCCCTGCTGTGTAATATTTTCGAACTCCCTGTTACTTTATTCCATTGACTGTACGCCTATGGTCATATAAAACAAAGTGTTTGTGTGTTTGTCCGTACAGAGGTGTGACAGACGTACATACATGTAGTCATATGGCAGTTTGATGAATGTACATACACAGAATCACTAATGAATTCCACGGACATTGGTCCACATAGGTTGCTGCGTTCGAGTTTTCTGTGGAACCAGAGAAGTGTAACACCTATCCTTGCTGTGAGCGCGGACCGACGGAACGCGTGAGCATTGTCTTGAAGTCGGAAATATTTTTAGACCTCTGGGATTCTTTAGGAGCGCTCGAGAAAACTTGTATAGATTGAAGCTACTTTACGAAGCTGACACATCACATCAGAGAAATATTCATAACGCATGGTAGATAGTCCCTAGCGAACACCGACCGAAGGGAGATGTAATCTTTATTTCCACGAACCAGGCCAAACTTGCCCCCACTTAGGTTTCGTTATCAAGGGTAAGAAGGCTGATAGATTTGGTAATATTACGTCCATTTCGAACGTCTGTATGGCAGATAAAATCAAATCAAATTACAGAGTCTCGATGAACTACAGAAATTCTGATAAACGTTTCTGACCCGTGAAAAGCTATAGCAACTGCTTCTGTAAACTAAGATGGAAAATATGGACGTTCTCATCGCGAAAAATATCCATCGATTCTGTAGTAACAGGATCGAGTTACAACAGAATGAATAATAATTCCGACAGTACATTCATTCGGCTTACAGGCAATGGACTTAGTGAATCGATGTGATTCACGTTATTTATTTTATAGAACAATGAGTCAGCTTTCAGAATACGTTTGTCATTTGGCTTCACTCTTTCTCTGTAACAACTCAAGTGCCAGATTGTTAGCCATAACGTAAAACATTGTATTCGACACCTTCGAACCTTCAAAGACATCAAAAACACCGATAGGCCAAATCCTTATCTTTACATTACACACTCTTTCTTACATTTTTTGTCTCTAGATTCACCTGACGACTTCTTTCATGGTCAAAAATTAGAATATAGCCCGAAAAGTGGTATTTCCGATTTCTCACCATCAAGGAAGAACTTTTCCCTGTTAGATCTTGAGGCAATAATGTAGACAATTTAGTTTTCTAAATTTTATCTGCTGGACTCAACTTTGTACAAATCGATTTTCGCGACAGAAAACGGCGTTTACTGTTTTTCACCATAAAGAACGAGTTCTGAAAAGCCGATCCCAATACATAAAATTTAGAAAATTAAATTTGCTATACTTTATGTCTGAGATTCAAATGCTTTTTTCAAGCAGAAAAAAGCAATTCCTAAAATATCTTAATGATTTGGTCCTTTATCAGCTGCTATATGTGTGACTAGTAGATTAGCTGGTTAAAAGGTCAAGTACTTCCACTCTCAATTCTGATAGTACGTAAGTCAGCGAGTTTGACTCTCGTTAGGCACACATTCTTTTTCTTATTTTTTTAAGGTAGTTTAAAGTGTCCGGTTAACTGGCTCTCTAACTGTCCGGTTAATCGATGCCTCCAACCACCGGGTTGACCGGTAGTTAACCTACTTCACAATCACCCCATTATTAAATATATTTCGTCTTGGAGCTAGCTTAACCGATCGGTTAACTGGAGGTATTAACCTAGTTGTCAACCTTCCGCTCCTACTCGATTATAATAACCTAGTGCGTGGTTCACTACTAAGTTGGAGCCGATTTCTGAAAACCCGGTCCCAACACATAAAATTTAGAGAATTCAACTTGCAACATATCATGTTCGAAACAACTCTTGAAAGTGCTGTTTTCAAGGAGAAAATACAAGAAGCAGAAACGTATTAGTATTACTCTCTAGCAGGTTCGAATCTGCAAAAGTGTTGCGCTGTTCTGCTTTCTTACTATTCGTCGCAAACTTGATTTATAAGTTTCTTCATACCCTTGCCGTGTTACAGAAACTCTGCTAAATGCTCAATCCCTAAAAGGTAATGGATTTTCTTCAAGGGGGAAACAGCGGACTCCAGACTTCAACATGCCAACTGACGTCAGACAAGTCATATCTGACCGAGTCTACTGGCCTTTTTTTAAAAACTTGTCATTGTTGTATTCCCATGCTAGAACAAATGTCCTGTTATGAAATTCGATTCCCAAAAACAGAACAAATTTACTTTTTCAAGGGCGTCAATTCCCNAAATAAGCCATCACATCCCCGGAGTCCATCAGACTCCATCGAATCTCATAGGATCTTTTATTTTACCTTCTGAGTACACCACATCAGGTGACTCTACTTGACTCCAAGTGACTTCACAAGACTCGGATCCCATCTAGTCTGCTATTTCTCTCATGGGCTCCACCCTATCACCTGATTCCACCTCATCAATTAACTCCAGCGCATCAAGTGACTTCACTTGACTCCACTTGACTCCAAATGACTCCATGCGTCTGGAGTCGGCTGTTTCCCCCTTGATTTTCTTTCCAGAAACAGCCATTTTGTCACCTAATCAAGATCAGACTTCTTTCTTCAGTACAGAAAGAAGTAGAATCATAATACAGTTAGGTTTTCTAGTGCGCAATATGGAAAAGAGCTAGATTTCTCTTTTCTGTAGAGAATGAATAGTAAAAGACAGCATTGAGCGCCTAAATGTATCTTTGTATATAATGTATTTGATGTTAGGAACTAGCTTGACTGATGGGTTCAGGGGGCGGTTGGAACTCTAAAAATTTCCTAAAAAGTTTTGCAAACCTCTCTAGGCTTTTTTATGACGAGATGAAGCCGGCCTTTCTATTTCATTAGAACTTAAACGAGATTATATATTTGATATATGATATATGCTTAGTAATTTTTCGAAGTGAAAATTCGAAATAAAACAAATGGTGAGATGGGATAAAGAAAGATATTATTCGACTCAGTTTTCGACGCCAACTCCGAATATGATATTTTTATTGCGTAAAAAGTAAGTACTGGTGGAGAAAACAGAGAATTATGATCAGAATTTCGATTTTTTCGCTCCTGATTCAGAAGGAATTTCTCAGGGACGAAACAAACTCTAACAAAAAGCGATGAATACTTTCAATGCTTGTTTAATGACGGTTCTAATGAAATAAAAAAGTTGGCTTCATCTCTTCACAGAAAAATCGAGATAGATTCGCAAAATTGTTTACATTTTCTTTTGAAACCGGAGAGTTTTTCGAAACTTCAGAAGGCCTTCACATGGAAAAAACTTTTTTCATCCGTACAATTTCGTCTATGCTGTGATTCTCCCTTGGTTTGCGAAATTGCTTATGAACCTTTTACATGGACCAAGATGTCCAATCTGCAGAGGCCTTTGACTTGAACCTTGATCAAGCGTTATTCCCATACTCAGTTTTAAATGCTGAATCTGAAAAAATGCTTTGAGAAAGTTAGAAGTACGAAAAAGAAAGATTTTAAGTTTTTGAAACTGAAGGATGTTTCGAAATTCTAGACCCTTCGAATTTTTCCAAAAAATGTTTTAAAAGAAATTCTGCTAAAATTTTGCATTATCGGCATCTTAGAATTCAGTTTTCTAATTCATTTTCATACGAAATTTTGAATCATTCTCTGATTAATCACGATAAATAATAAAAAAGAGCTTATTTACAAGTCATACAGTAAGAATATCTCATGGTAGGCAGCTAGAGAGCAGTAAAATTACCACGAAGATTAGTGAAGAGACAGGATACCGTGATCTGGACTTGTGACCTGCACAGGTCAAGGTCTCATTTGTAGAAGAGTTGAGAAAGTCAAATTTTCAGATGGTTTGCTGTTATTTGAAGAAACTCACAATTTTATCTCTGGCCTGCTCCTGACATACAAAACTAGACTTTGACCTGCGGACCTGAGCTTAAAAAAATGGACCTAGATTTGGACTTGTTACCTGGACGTTAGATCCATCGTGTGAGGAAAGTCTGAGAGTAGTGTGCCTTTGCAATATGCTGTACTAGAGTTCGAGCAGAATTATTAGAATATGTAAGAAGCACAAGACAGATACATTGAACAAAAGTGTCTTTAATTGATAGGGTTATTATGCCTTTTCATATTGTTCCCGTCGTTTCCACAGAAAGAGGACATGTTTACGAAAGTAACCAGCTTCACAATGTTGGATATGCTGACATATTGCTTTTGTTGATGTACTCTGCAGTATGTCAAATTTTAAAAATAAATTAAAAAGTTGTGGGACCATCAAAATGTGGGACGTGATGTGAACAATAGCAATCCGCGAAACAGTTACAAGTTGTTTCAGGATAAAATCAAATCTAATTTCTGACTATATCGCATCACTAAGAGTCGTTGCCATCAAAATAATTTTCCTCTTAGCTTTTTTCTTTATGAGTGAGCCTAATTAGCGATTTTTAACAAGTTTTTTCGTGGCGAGGTAACGTATGTTTATATTTTTAAGCTTGAGAAGTGTTTCGAAATTCCGAACCGGATGATCATTTTCGTCGTGGAGTAAATGATGAATGTGTGTTTACTGTAGATTTCCTTACGTTAAAAGCGCAGTTAAGTATACTTAACTGCGCTTTTAACGTAAGGAAATCTTCTTCTTTTTCTTGATAAAGAAAAAGAAAACAAAAATTTGTTTCTCTTGTAGAAGATTCTTTTTCTTGTCTCTACCATCAATAAACGAGGTCTGTTCCTTAAGAAAATATTGTTGGCTTTTTATTGACTCATAAAAGCAAATTTCCATTGATCGTTGGTACATAATCGAGCCCCTTCGTACTTGGTTTTGTTCCCTCCTCAGAAGAAGCTCATATAAATATGACAGAAGTCATTTGAAGAACATACTCAGCTCATCCAAATAATACAAAAAGACGATGAGATCATCTACTGCCAACAAAAAGTCCACAACTGCTGTTGCATTGTGTCAGACAATGCAAACTACCCGATCATGCTCTAGCAGCCCCCAACCTATCGAGCAGAAGTTATTATCAAACGATGCAAGTGAAATTGGTTTTGAACCAGCCATCCAACGCGAAGCTGGCGGTAAGTGCTAATCAAGTAAATTGAAAAGAACTGAAAATATCATTCCTCTTTGTTAACAGGTGTTCAAATTTTTAAAGATGTTTCGAAGATGATAAAAGAAGTTCGTGATATTAATAAACAACATTCGGACGCATTAGCTCAATGCCATGCTAAGTATCTTAGAAACTTTGAAAAAACGGATCAATTGATTCTGTATGGCACAACACGTAACATTGTCCTATATTTGATTCGACTTAGTCAACAATCAGCATCCCCTGTTAATGCACGTATTCAAAAACTGAATGCAGTGGCTAGTGATCTCAATGAGGGAATAAAAACGGTCACTAGTATTGAGCAATCAACAACATTGAAAAAACGACTGAAGACAGCACATCGACCTGTATATAAGTCAAATGAAGAGTTAGAAAAAAGAAGAAGAGAAAATCATAAACTGAAATCCGAATTAAATTCACTCAGTACAAAACTAGCCGACAGTACATTGACGGAAAAGAAATGGCAAGACTTAAAAGATAAACAATGTGACTTGAAGAGTAACCTAAGTCGATCAGATAATCATACCGCAACTAGCCTTTACAATCTTCAGAAAGAAGTGCAAAATTATCAGAAGCAAGCCAGCAAATTGTTCAAAGACGCACAGAAGAAAGAAGAGAAACGTCTACAATTGATCACGGAGACGTTAATAAAGTTTTTGGAAGCCCAAGAACTTGAAGACATTGAAGAAATTAAAACCCGCATTAGTGTGGAGCACAAACCAAAGAAAGATGTGAACGAGTGGGAACTGAAATACATTCAACAAACGGATGACAATGATAGCGAAGAGGGAGAGAAAGAAGATCTGCGCCCGAAAATGCTCCAGCGTCCCAACAGCGAACTAACGGATAATAGAGCGGCGTTACAAAAACCTCTTGAACGTGTGTTCAAATCGATTTCGAACTAGTTCCGTGGCCATCTAGAATGGGGTTCAAGAACTGAACGGGTTCATAGAACTTAACCTTCAAGCCACCGTTTGGAGAAAAAACATTACTTTCAATATCATTTTCTTGTAGAAACAGGCATTTTGGTCAGCATATAGAGGATTAAACCTTAGAAGTAAAAACCAATTACTTTTGACGTCCTTTATCGAGCATTTCTGTGAAACGCTTTTTTAAAGGTAATTAGGAATGCAATCTTTTTCGATTAGTGTCGACTCTTTTAGATACTTTTCACAAAATATGATGGAACGAGTTACCACGCACAGCTTAAACGGAACCGCAAATAACTATTCATCACTTTATTAGAGTGGTTTTCATTTAATCACTATGATAACATAGATCAATAAGAATCAACAGCTCTATGTCAACAAGTGTTTTCAAAAATTATTACAACACTGATAGAATACAGCAATATCCATCAGTAGTACCATGTGAGGGTACTTCAGCCCTCATCGCTTTTTTATTCAAAGCTAAACAGGAAGCATCTAATTTAGGCATCAAGAATTAGAGGAAAATTAAAAAACAGGTAAATTCAACTGCGCTCTTGTGTTTTCTGTGTCCTAAACAGCAGAATGATTCAGTAATTAAAAAGCTTTTTCTTATTTTCTCTTAAATATAAAAGAAATTCTATTAGAAACCAAAGCATGTATTGTGCGCTCTGCTTTTCTAAGAAAAGCGTAAAATCGTGTATTTTTAAATTCCGAAGCATATGTACATTTTGCTATTCGAAACACTGGCTCCAGTATTAACTAGCAATTTGGCACTTTTACACATTAAGAACACATTGGCACTATTTTGGTGAACTAGAGTGAATTGAGAATGAGTGGAGTGTCCTAAAAGCGTAAAAGTACTCATTTTGTCTCTTTCGCTTTACAGGTTGTAGCTCGTTGTCTGGACTATCGAATGATGTATGAACCAGAAATCTAGTCTCTAACCTATTCCAGTTAACTGCAAAGCCAAGTTCACATGTTCGACTCTCTGTTCGTACAAAATTGATCTTCTGTTCTTCGACAGTTTTAGTTTAGAATACTATAATGGAGTATTTTCCGCTTGTATTCTGACAGAATAAAGCTTATACCAAAACCGCGGTAGTGTGGAACACAAACCAAAGAAAGATGTGAACGAGTGGGAAATGAAATACATTCCACAAAAGGATGACAATGATAGCGAAGGCGAGAAAGAAGATCTGCGTCCGAAGAAGCTCCAGCATCAGCCCAAGCTGATCCCTTGACGAATGCTACCGAATGGTGCTCACGAAAATGGTGAGCACGCTATCCGACGAGTGATCCGAGGTAACACATAAAGTAAAGTAACTTGTCCACGGCTATTACATGACTTTACTGGCGCCAAAACTCAAAAACAGTATTTTTCAAGTACAACATAACCATCAAGTCATGCGGTCTCTGAATGTTGCTTAAAGGGGGACGGGAGGGGAGCACGATATCATCGAACGATTTCGATGATATTGTGAAATAATTCGTTATATTTTACTGAAATGTTCTATCAACGTCGCGGTAGAATTATTTTGTAGACAATCTTTGGTTGTATATAGTATGCTTTAAAAAGTTTGAAAGGTCTCTGAACGACATAGGCTTTTTAAACGAAACATTGTAAAAAGAATGTTTTTTCTACTTTTAAGCATAAAAAGTCATTTTTGAAAACCTTGCCGGCGATCGTGCGATAACAAAGAATTTCTGAGAAACATTTTCGCTAACGAAGTTGTAGCTGATGTAATTTTGCATGGAATAAGCGGAACGGAATTTCAAAAAACTGTTTTAAACAGAAATTAAATGAAAATTAAACAGTTTTTTATTTAAAAATCTTTTAATTAATAACAAAATCTGAATCTTTTTCTCGTCTGAAAAGTAAACATGTTCGGTTTATTCCACGTACAATTTCACGGGGAATCACTTTTGTTCCAGCCGTTTTAATGAGATAAGCTTTGCGTAGTCAGAATCCGTGGGAAGCTTTTGGGGTGCATATCCTTGCAACAAGGGCTTCCGAAACCCCCAGTGTAAGCCTTGCTTTCTTGTCCGTTGATCAGTGAACAAATGTTATATTGTGATTTCTTCTGAATTCATCTTTTAATATCCAATGATGCATATAACTGATACACTCACACTTTATTATAAAAAATCAGCAACTATATATAGGTTTATGAACAATGCATTAGATATGGTATGTACGAGTTAAAGGAAATTCCCCAGACAGAATAGGGAGAAACCCCATCATTCAAAAAGAAGGGAAAGCCACAGAATAGAGAAAGTTACATATGGGGAAAATCCCAGAAC